GCGATCTTTCAGTGTCGTCTGTGACGCATCTGACTTTGCCATAGGCAGCGCTCTGTTACAAACAGATGATGATGGGCGGGAACGCGTTATTGCGTTTGAGTCCCGACAGCTAAAAGCTGCGGAGAAGAACTATCCTGTTCATGACAAAGAGCTACTTGCAATGAAGTATGCTCTCGTCAAATTCAGAGTTCATCTTCTTGGCTCTAAGCCGTTTGTGATCTATACAGATCATGCGTCACTACGCACTGCGACCCAGTCGCCTCACCTCTCTCAGAGAATGGCTCGTTGGCTTTCCTTCTTTGCCGAGTACAACTTCGAGGTGAAGTATAAGCCGGGCAAGCAAAATGCTTTGGCGGATGCGTTGTCACGCAGGCCTGACTATGAGCTTGCTCATGTTACGACTCTGTCGTCACCGGTCACTGACCTAATCCGCACGGCGTATGTCAAGGATGAACATTGTGTAGCCCTGCTACGTGCTCTAGGGAGCGAGGAGTTTAAGGACTCGGACATAAAATTGTCGGCACGGTTACGTGCGAGGTTACATCGATATTCCATCGATCAAGGCCTGTTGTGCTATAGCACGGATGTGGAGGATACCCCTCGCATCGTTGTCCCTCATGATGAGGAGTTGAAGTATCGGATCCTCTATGAGGCACATGATACTGCGTTGAGTGGTCATCTCGGTCGTGAAAAGACCTACGGCTCTGTGAGCCAATGCTATTGGTGGCCCAAACTATACAAATGGGTGAGCACCTATGTACGTTCGTGTGAAACGTGTCAACGGGTGAAACCCTCACCACATGCGGCAGCGCCGCTGGCTAGTTTGCCTATACCCAAAGGGTGTTGGGAGTCCATCAGTATGGACTTCCTGTTCGGTTTACCGAAGGATTCGTATGGAAATACGGGTATTGTGGTCTTTGTTGACCGTTTGAGCAAGATGGCTCATTTAGCGGCGGTGCCAGACACCATTGATGGTGAAGGTACAGCGACGCTGTTTATCGATCGCGTGTTTCGACAACACGGTCTGCCGTTGGCAATTGTCTCTGATCGAGATCCCCGCTTCACTGGGAAGTTTTGGAAGTCCATCTTCAAGGTGCTCGGCACACGTTTGGACATGTCCACAGCGGATCATCCGCAGACCGATGGTCAAACGGAGCGCGTTAATCGTGTCATTGGTGACATCTTGCGTAGTGTTTGCGCTGAAACACCTAAGCGTTGGAGCTCGATGCTCCCTGTCGTTGAGTTTGCGTTGAATAACGCTGTGCATGCCTCCACCGGCTACACCCCGTTCTACGTGAACGGTCTCACACACCCTCGCGTTCCGTTAACGCTACCACTACGTGGTTCAGGGCTTGGTGGGGGAGGAGTTGCCGATCGGCTTGCTGATATCAGCCCTGCTACTGTTCAAAAACAGGTAAGCGAGTTTCTCGCAACGCGATTGAATGTCTTACGACATGTGCGTGACGCACTGGCTGATAGCCAAGATAAGCAGAAGGAACAAGCAGATGCCAAAGGCAGAGGTTGTATTGAACGTTATAAGGTCGGAGACCAAGTTCTACTCAATGCTAAAAACCTACCTACAAATGTAGTATCCGCCGTCTTCAAGACGAAGTTGCGCCCGCGCTTCATTGGACCCTTTACGGTCGTCGCAAAGAAGGGACTTGCGTATACGCTCAACCTTCCGCGCAAACTGCGCACACACCCCGTGTTCTACGTTGGCATGCTTAAGCCGTATCGGGATCCGTCCCACGTGAACTTGGAGGCGCTTGCGCCGGGTAGGTTGGCTTTGCCATCGGTTGCTGAATCCGTATCAGGAGGTCAAGCTGAGCCTCCATCCGGGCTTGGCCCAACTCCAACGCCCGAACACGAGCTCGCATTGCGTCGAACGCACTCTGGGTCTGACCCAACGTCTCACGGAGACCACTCAGCTCGAGAAGCACCTTCTCGTGCTCCTCCTTCGGTATACCGACCACCTCCGACGCTGCTCGATGAGCAAGGGAACCGCCAATTCCATGTGGAACGACTCCTGAAACGACGTCGTCGTCAGGGTCAATACCAGTATCTGGTGAAGTGGCGAGGGTACCCGGAGTCGGAGAACTCGTGGGAATTTGAGGTACCCCTTCGGCAGGATTGCCCATACGCCGTTGATGTTTTTGAACATCGTGGCAGGGGTCATCCTTCGACCGATATCGCTTCCCACCAATAGTGGTGGAAGCAGGTGGGTAGTTTGGTTCCGCTTGACCAACTCCCACTTCCCTCGGCACAGCCGGAGCATAGCGGGTGCGAAATCGCAATTGGCCTCTGGCCTTAAGCTTGGCATAGTCATACCGAAGCTTTCGTTCGAGACGAACATCTGCCACATTGGCACTTGCTCTGAGAGCTAGCATGCTGCTGAGGTGACGTTTCCGGTGCACCCAGCGCACAAAAGTGTTGTCCTCCTCCTCCGGAGATTCGCCTGCGAATAAGAGGATGGGTATACCCCTCATCGGTGGCACCGGTGCACCCCGTGCTTGCGTGTCAAGTCGCAACTTGTATTGACTTAGAGTCGTCAAGTGGGGTTGCAGGTACCTCTCACGAAGTGCCTGTCGGCTCGCCACTTCATCAGAAGATGTCGGCTCAGCGCCAATGGCCCACGTTGCCAGGGAATGACCTGTCGTTTGGCGTATACGCTCTTCCACATTGAGTGGCGTGAACTGATAGCCACGACGACCCTCAAGGTCTGCAGCAAGCTGCATACGGCGCTGAGCGCTCTCCTCTTGTTGGACTACCAACTCTTGTTGCTCATCGAGCGGGTTGGTGATGATGTGTTCACCTGCATCTGTTGCATGATGCTGGGTTTCTAACGCGGCGGTCTCACTACGCTCGGCAAATGGGTTTGGTGCAGTATGAGGCGATGCCTCTTGCACTGGTGGGTTGGACATTGTCCGTTCTTCACCACGGACATCGGTATCACTACCATAGTCCTCTTCCACATTAATGCCGAGGTAAGAAGAGAGAGTCGGGGACTCGTAAGGTGGCGATGCCATGGTGTTTCGTGTTTTGCAAACCGTGAGGTTAGAGTGCACACACACCGTCCTCTTCGAGGAAAAGTTCGATTGACGTTTTGTGGTAACGTCAGTCTGGTGGGGGAGGGTGTAACGGGGTTACACGTCGGCTGGTAGCCGACGATAGGTGTGGTGCACACACGAGAGGGGGGTACCCTATAAGGTAATATTAGAACACAGTGAGCGTATCAATTGTTGAAGACTGGTGTCTGTCATCAATTGATTGCAAGATCTTTTAAGAGGTTATTTAGGGCAGGTTAAATACGTTGTTCTAAGGTGTTCTTTTAGGTTAAATGAAGAAATAAAATTCAGTTCCCATTTTGATCAACAAAAGACACGTGCCTCTCTGAGGCGTCTTGCGATCGTAAGGAAGTAGCAACGCCTTGTTAAGGCAGCTACTCCTTGTGCACTTAGTGCGTTCGATTCTTTGAATCGTTTGGTCCCCCTGGAACAGGGACCGTAAGCTCTTTGAGCTGTTGACTCTCTGAGTCGGGTTCTCTGAACCACCTTTAAGCTCTCTGAGCTGTTGACTCTCTGAGTCGGGTTCTTTGAACCAAAGTTGCTCATTGAGCGTAAAGTCTTCCTCTGACTTAAGGAGCTGTGTAGCTCCGCTACATGAACCGGCAATGATCCAAAGATAGCCGAAGCAAACATCAGCCGCTCGTCGATGGTGCCATTCGCATCATCATGTTTTATGGAATCGTAGTTCTCGTAGTTGCTCGGGCTAGCGTATTCTTGCTGCGGTTGGATGTTGGGAAGAATAAGGATGGTACGGTCCCTGGCAACCAATTGCGGCAATAGGTGGATGCGTATCATAGTTACCTTGTACCGGTAGATCCCTTATCATATTGGTTATACGGATTGGGCAGGCCAGTGCCCACAGGTATGTCAGCTCCAGTTGAACCAGATGCGAGGTTGTCGGGTGTGGGTATACCCATAGGGCCCCACACGTTCTTAACAACTCCGCGCTTTCCATCATCGAAGCCCGTAATAGGGTCTGGGCCATTAGACCGCCGAGCCTTGGCGTGCCGCCCTGACCACTGATGTTACCCCAATCGTTCACCCCGAACGATCCTTGCTGGTCCACAAGGCTGAGATTGGTCGGACACGGAATTTAAGGCTTCTTCAGCTGCTTACATGACGATTCAAAAGAGGCACGGTACGAGCTGGTAGCTTTATGAATTGTTAGCATTGGGCACGAAAGGGCCAATCGAATGTATATCAACTTATTTGCTGCCGCGCTTGCTGTCAATGCCTGTTTCACTTACTATCCCTCTTGCTCTCCCTAGCAATCAAGCAGTTTCTTGTCCCATGTTGCAGTTTAGTATAATGTGGTTGACACTATTCAGCGTGTTTTTTATTCTGGAGTTGAGGATAGTATTGGTTTTGTGACTTTTGTGCATTTGTGGTACTGGTTTTGAGATTTACTCTACAAAAAATGTGAAAAAGTGGCTGACCCACGTCGTGTCAGGCACCTGTTAGGTGTACGTATACCAGCTCTTCTGGATAAAAAAGGCAAAAAGCGCACACAAACAACGAGAAAGCAGATATAAATCACAAAATAGAGAGTGTAAATACTGCACATCACGTGACAGCGAATATATGAGACACCACAAGATTAACAAGTTGCAAAAACGCATCAAAAGGTCGAACCAAATACAATGCACCACACCATTGATAAATGTAATGAAATATTGGAAAAGGCATCACGAACAGAAAAATTATAAAATGCGCACCACTAATGCATACTATACGATCGAATTTTCAGATGCGACAGATCACATGAAAATTATCATCGGCATTCGCGATGGCATTGCATGAGAGACAACTAACTACCACAGAGTAAAAAACAATGAGACTCGATGCAATGTTCAGTATCATAACTACTCTATTCATCATGCAGCTCAATGTCGCGAGCAAACCTGTACGTCCTTTCACTGACTGCTTTTAACGCTCTCACTGCATCTTCTTCTCGTCATCAAGCGGCTTGTTGAAGAATGCAAAGTAAATGGTGGAACCAACAACGACAACAGCAAAGATGGCTGCCCAGATGAGCTTGACGTAGAGTGGAAAAGGCTCTGTGAACATTCCTTGACCGTGTTTGTAAATCACCAGCACCTCCGTGAAGACAACGGCTACGCCAAGCCAAGCACGCGGGCCTAGCTTCTTGACCGGCATTTTCTTCCCATCATAGTTCATGGTAAACGAGCTGAAGATGTAGTACTCGGCCACGGCGTAGCTTCCTGCTGCGTACCAGACCGCCAGGCGGTAAATGTTGACATTGCTGCTCGCAGGCACCCAGAGCACTGTCTTGAGAAAAAACGAGTTGAGCATCATGACGGACAAAATCGCGACCATCAACATCACGCGCCAAAAGCGTTCAGCCGAGCGAAAGATCTTCCAGTCGTACGCCATCCAGTACGCTGGCGTAAACTGAGCCAGCGCGCGCTTGGCTTTGCCCGTCAAGTTGGGTATTTTCCGGATCCCTACCCAGTTGAACCGCCGCATTTCAAAATAGTGGCACACTTTCATGCCCAAGTAAATGCCTGCGGCATTGCACAGGAGAATGTCGAGGAACACGTGGTCCCACCAGCACTCGTTAAAGTTTGCGAGCCAGTGGCTAAACGTGATCTCGTAGAGCTCAAACATGACGCTCAGGATCCACGAGATGAGTTTGCTGCGCACCATAATCGCGCCGACGATCCACCCGACAAAGTGCATGACGACGAACCGGTCATAGAGCGTCGCGCGGACGTTCGCGAGCGACGAGTGCGGATCGTCGGGCGTGTAGAGGCGGCAGTCGGTCGCGTACGACGTCTCGGGCAACTGGACGCCCAGTGCCGCGTCCAGCACTTTCATAAACTGCCGCGCGTCGTTTGTCTGGAGGAACAAGAGCACAATGAGGAGCATCTCGTAGAGGATAAAGAGCCCCGTGACGAGGCGCCAGACGAGGGGGTGGGGGCGCCCCCAGTGGCCGTCGGGGAGCTGCAGACTGCAGTACGTGAGGAAGAAGACGCTCGCGTACTTCATGCCGCGCTTCACGTCCGTCAGCACGCGCTCCATGGGGTCGTCGTCGTGCGCCGCGATGGGCTCGTGGAACGCGGCGTACACGAGCCACAGCATGAGCAGCAGCCCTGCGGTGAGCGTGTGGGGACTGCTGATCCACATGTGCTCGTTGCCGTCGTCGACGTGGACTGTCTCGTCGACGCTCCACTTGCGGTGCGCATAGTTCGAGGGGCGCGCGGGACGGCTGGCGCGGGTCATGCGCGGGACGGGCGAAGCCAATGGCTGCGAGTGGCTTTGGTTCAGAGGAGGAGAACGACGGCGGCCGACGAGCTCAGTGGGTATGGAAATGAAACAGGAGCGACCGGGAGAGCTGTTCTGCTTTTTTTGCAACAACATTTTTTGCCCGTCCTACTGCACTTTGGGAGCTCGACAGCTTAGCACAAATTCTAAATAAGGATTGAAGTGTGTCGTAATTCTTTTGGTAATTTATCATTGACGACCACAGCATGTCCAGATTGTGGAGAAAGCTTTTTCTCAAACAGAAGAACAGTTTGGCAATGACAGCGATCTCCTCCACTTTAAGTGCGTGGTGCTTGGCGAAGGGATAAATAATTCGAAGTTTTCGTATATCGTAGACATCGAATGATCATCATTTTGCATAGCCATCTGTTCGGATGATTTATGCCGAAGCCAACGCCACCATCAATTTGCAGGATTCAATCAATGGCGAGCTCGTTCGTGCAAGGATAAATATATTGGGCATGATGCTAAGCTCTGATCGGGCTCATTAGGCGAGGTAAAAAGATGGCGCTGCAAGCGATAGCTGGACAAAAAATAGAGGACACAAGAAGTGCACGACATGGGCAAGTCATTCTAGATGGATGATCTGCCATCGCAATCAAAGCGGGAAGTTATAATGCGAGAATGCACGCGCGATTGACGTACGTCAATCACGTGCCAACATCTGAGACACGTATGGAGGATTGTTATCGGTTTCCGTGGTAGCATTCATTTCGCACAACGCTTAGTAAATCACAAGAATATGACAAGACATAGCGCTTTTGTTTTTTAGTTCCGTCACTACTCTTTAGTACAACGCTGGATAATTGACGAAATTATAACAGGCATCGCGCCTATAATGGATACGCTTCACGTAGTTAACACTGTTTTACTCGAGTAGTTTGTGTCATTTAGTACATAAACATTGTGGTAGGACCACCGTTTTGATGCCGACAACAACGACTATGATATGTGTGCCATTAAACCTTCCGCAAAATTGTGAAAGACAATTTCACCTTTAATCGTATAACATTTACGCGGCCAAAGCTCGAATCGATAGTATAGTCATCACCGTTTATATAAACGCATACCCTTTTTATTGCGCCCAATTTTTTTATCCTGCTACATGTTTACACCCCGTTTGTTATTGACTGAAATCGGCGGTAGTGTTTGCCAAGGTATACCTCGCAGTTACAAGACATGGTTCTTATCGAATAATGTCATTGGTCTACAAAGAGTTGAATCAAAATGGTAGCTTAGTTTTCAACCTCAGATTTGTTAAGCGTGCCTATCGCGATATATAATTTAGCTGATGAGAGAGTTTCTCAATACATGATGAAAGTTGGAGATGCATCAAACACATTTGCGCTTGCGTCCGATAGAATCAGGATGCTGGAGGCAAAGTAGTTTTCAACGAGCTCGGGACCAAGAATTAGATCTGTATTCTCGTGCTGCAGGTTTTCAGCTTGACGGAGTTGTATAGCTCCTCTTTTACCTACGACCTCGTTTGGACCTATCAATCTGGATTAAGCGATGTTCACTTCATCTTAATCTGCGCTAGTTTAAGGCATTATCAGGTTATTGCAACCTTGATCCTCTGTAGGAGCATAAATAACGTAGATGGCACTCTACGAGAAATCTTGGCAAAATCTTTGGCAAGGCAGATAGATAGGACATGATTGCGAATCTATAGAATAAGTGTTTGACGCTTCGCAGCATATGCTTAATATTGCATTACTTATGCACACGCGAAAGCGATTTGTCAGACGGGTAAATCGTCATATAAATTTAAAGCCACGTTGGGTTAATTTGCACATTTCTCTTGGTATTCTTATCAAATTTTGCCTAGTTATGCAAAATGTAGGGAATATTATCGATAAAGGTACTGTATGGTATTACTCGTACGTATGGATAATCTCGGCTTCTTACATGCACATATTATTCATAAATAGCTGATAGACGCGCGCAATGGGTGGTAAGCTGGCAGCCATATTCGGGACGAGTAGTTAATGTTGTTGGGACAAAATCAATAGGATTTTATGGTATTCTTAACCATTTGTATACAGTTTTACATTTTCCTATATTAAAGCTTCAATGTTCATAGTATACCAGCCTCCAACTGCTCGTAAAGTTTCATTGAGATTACGAGGTACCTGCATACACTGTATTAAGTGTAAGTAAGTTTCGTGCGTTTGGAAAAGCGTTTGATGCCCCCTTACACCTGGAAGTAACTTGTAGGCCGCTCAGTGACTACGAAAAACCATCCATTAAATGTGCACATTTCATATAATGAAGATGGAATCTTCGCGTCACGCGTGAAGGATTAGGCTGTTCAAGCGACACTTAATCGAGTACGGTCAAATTAGTGAGCTCTACCGTCGTCGGACCTGCCATCAGCGCCAGGTTCTCCGTTCTGATAGGAGACGAGCAACATGTCAATATCGTCAAGCTTGTCCGGTACGACTTTGACTTGTCGCGTTAGAAATCAATCTTTCTGCATCGTTCAGGTGAAATATTGACATATCTCTTATAAAGAACAAGGTGTACATCAAAATCAAGCTGTCCGAATATCAGAAATATGATGCTGCTGTTACCAGATCGACGGTCAGTGCGTCGACCCAAAATCTTAGATATCGACATCGATAAGTACAAGAGAGTCGAGGATGACTCCCTGTTAAGATAATTGTTGAAATAGACGACGCAATAAGAGATCTTCGTATCACCGACGTAGACATAACGGTTACTTTTGCTGATTTAAGCTTGACTAGACGCACCAGACATTGGGCCATATAGATCAAAATTCACGACCATATGCATTTAAGGAGTTAAAAGTCATATAGAGGCTAGGCTTAATAAGACTCTTAAGACGCCTAGTGCTGAACTAAGGGATAGACCCCGATCCCCCGAATTGATCCTAGAACGTTAGCGCGATCACTTGATGGCATGTGGCAATATAGGCAAAAAATGCGCAAGTTTCTTGGCTTGATTCGTACTGGAACAAGGACTCGCGCAACTAAGCCAATATAATGTACACCTCTCTCGTTAGATTATCACGAACAAGAATTGAGCGTTAAGTCCTGAGTGTCAGCAATCTATCGAAGGTACCACGAAAAGCACTATAAATGCCGTTGTTGACTATTCACGTATAACACATACCGTCCCATGTGTGGTATGACGCCTTCAGTAGTCTGTGCAGGTATGCAATACGACACGATGGTGCATAGCGCGTCGTCTATATCACTCGCATCAGAAAAGTGAGTGCAATCATTTGGTGCATGTCAAAATTAATTTCTAGACATGAAGTACGCACTAATTAAGTTTGTTCGCCCATCATCTCCGAAATAAATCTTTCTCGTTGATTCTATAATTATTTTCAAGGACGGCCATTAATATCTTACACCGATCGCAAAGAATAGCGAGGAAGCAGTCGTCATTCGCGAAGTATACATTTACGCATATATAAAGCATAAAACTTGACGTCGCTAACGCGCTTTGGCGTCATTTAGCTTGAGATTTGGCGACGCAGTTCAACAATGAGTATAAATGTTATATCGATAAAAAGTAGCGTTTTTCACTGAGCCTAATGAATGACGTGAAAAAGGCGCAGGTTCATTCGTGCATGCAAAATATGTCAACCGTTTATGACAAGTCCCTCACTCAATGCTTCATTGCAGCCTCTACCGGTGTCTCGGAATGTCGGAAGTCTAATTCCATACATTTTGTCATTAGGTCTTGCGAAGAATATCGTAAATACCTTCGTATTCTTGCTGCTCCAAAATTAAGTACAGCGTTGTGCTTTGATCCCTGATATCTAATCAAATTGCCTTGCAACTCTATTCCCTTTGAACTTTGTACGGTAGCGGCTCACAGTTTACAGCATAGGTTTGGGAACCCGTGCTCCGACTTACAGGAGCACGGTTAAATGTCGTGTTATATAATCCAAAAAATAGATGGCACAAAATACTGCAAAAACTGATCGTATAAAGAAACTTCAAGGATACTTTCCCTCTATAGCTGTCAAGGCGTGTACTTGATGATGGCGGGTCTCGTCATCAACAACACGGTTTATGCGTGGCCGCCGCATCCACCTTCCATTGTAAATTGCCTAATACGTCGTCTGCGCACCCCCACCTAACAAGAGTCAAAATCAAATATACGGGGGATGAATCGCTTAATAAAAACAACCTAATTTCTACTCATCATGCGCCGACGACAACGTCGACGCTGCAGACACTGATGCCGATTTAATTGGCATCGAATAGGAAAAAATTGTCAATAGCAACGAAGCTATCACTAATGAGATGACGATAAAGATGTTGGAATAGTAAGCTCTGCCAAGATTACACCATGGAGGACGATGGAGCCCTCAGTTATATCATGAACAAACTTTCGACATTGAGCGCATAGGGCACACTGACAAAAGTTGAGGTAGTAAGAATGGTTTATTTTGCTGGCACATGAAAAAGTATCACGTATCTCTTAGGATTATATTGCATATAAGGTGGATTTTCAAAAACGACACCCTGGATAACTTGGACTAGAAGACAATATATGCTCTACGAAGAAAATGACTTTTGCCTTTATGTAAATCCTTGATAGATACGCAGAGATTGATTTGGGCAGTGGATAAAAAACCGCTCATTTAAATCTTCCTCTCATGTGTGCTAAGTGTTCCAGGGTAAAAGAATTTAAGATAAAACCGCCACTCACGATGCAAAAAACAATCCTTCGTTAATTCAAGTCATCTTATCCTACGTTTTACGTGGGGCGTCTTATCTCGTTATGTCGTTACGACCTCTCATTTGACGGTAGATAGTTGAACACGCTTAGTATTTACCCGATTTCTTTCTATCACTTTCCAGGAGGTCAATTCAGTCAGGTACATCAAGATATGAATGCAATCGAGTTCGCATAATTATTGACCAGCCGTCATCATCTTGCCTTCAACGAGATGAATACGCCGTTCATTCTCATTTACA